ACCACTGCAGTGCTTGTCAAAGCCATTCTGTGGCAGGCGTCCCACGTATAAAAATTAGAGGAAGATGGGCACAGATGTTAGCTCAGGGACAGTCTTCTTCAGCAAAAAGAGGAAGATCGGTGGCAGATGTTAGCTCAGGGCTAATGTTCTTCAAAAAAAAAAGTAAAAAACACTCTATAAAATCAAAAGTGATGACACATAAGCATGACCCATGAAAGAAACATTGAGTCAGATTTGAAACTTAAAGCTTTTGCTCTGAGAAAGAAGCTGTCAAGAGGATGAAAAGATACATCATAGTCTGAGCTACAATTTCCTCTGTGCAAGTTTCCTCTGTTCTTCCAGTTTTCATTGGCTTTCACTAGTCCCTTATTATACTGATTTTTGTGTCTTTCTTCCTGCAGATTACTTAACACCGTGATGATGATTGTTGAGGTGGGTCTGGATTCATTTCTGCAGAATGTGCTGTTCTTCTCTCCCACACAGAACAATCTGGCAGAGCAGCTCTTTGTGATGTGTTCTCAGTCCTGGAGGAAAAGGCTTTAAAGGGAGTAGTTACTTCCCTAATTATGTGGCCCCCGAGAACATCACCCTACAGCACCTTCACTACACTCCGCTTCAAGAAATCCAGTAAGACGTTCTCATTTATTCTTGTTATAATTTATAAGCCATCTGGTGGTCTCTGCTCCAGTTAAGCTCCAATTCCCATACTGCTTCTTGTGGAAACAAATTGTTTCTCTCCAGATTTCATGTTTGTTGTTTGAGCTATAACTTCAACTATCTGATGTGTTGAAGAAGGTCACTAATTTGCAATTTTTTCAGTATAGTTGTTGTTGTAAGAAGAGGAGCAACCTTTTCCTCAGCTCGGTCCACCCTGCAGCCGAGCAGCAGTTATATTTGTAGAACCCACAGCCTGTACACAATCCATATGTCAGTCAGAAGCGTAACAGAGAGACACATTCTGGTCTAATCATTCATTGGAAAACCCCCAACATAGCAATGTATGATCTATGAGTGCTTGATACACACAAAAAATGGCTGCATTCCCAAGAAACAATGTTGAGAGAAAAAATTCAGAGAAATAAAACACATACTGTATGATCCGCTTATATATATTTTAGTGAATGAAAACTAAAGTAACACAGTGATCGGGAAGTGGTTCCCTATAAGTTGGATTAGAAGAAGGGGGAGGGAGGAACTACGGAGGAACATGGAGAGACTTTTAATGGTGATGGATCCCTTCACAACCTTGATTATAGTGATGGTTTCACACGGGTGCACGTGTCAATACTCATCAAGTTGTAGACTTGACATGGGTGCAGGTTGTTACATGTCAATTTACCTCCTTAAAATTACTGCAGATAGACAAATGGATAGTTAGTAAGGAAAGAGGGAGAGACTCACAGAAAATGACTCCAGAAATTAGAGACTCCCGGAAATACACATGCGTGAATCCTGGCTCTCTCTACGTTCTTTCAGTAACACTGGAATGCAGCAAAATCATGCCATGTTCTCATCGCAGAAAGGGGTTCTGAAAACCTCATCTGGCCTGTCCAGCTCTGCCATTGAGCTGATTCTGGCTGTACTCTGGTCCAGTGAGGAGCCTGGGCCACGAAACTGGGCTCAATCTCACCTGATGTGTGCTCTCAGACACATTACACAAACGCTCTATGGTTCCCTCTGTAGATGTTCATCTGTGAAATGGAGGCAAAATTGACAGCTACATCACAGGCTTTGTGTGTATGTGAAAATGAATATGATTACGGGTGCTAAGTGTTTGTCACAAAATAATCTCGTAATAAAATATCATATTTTCCAAAATATTCTCGTTAGCACCATAACGTCTCAGGACACTCACACTTACCCTGGGGAACTGGCCTCCTTTAAGGTGCCCAACCCCAGAGGTTGCTAAATAGTTAGAGGACGTGCAAATAGGGTCCTCCTTCTGCTGATGAAAAGCAGCCCAGCCCAGACCATGCAGCTCTGGGAGAGGAACCCCAGCCAGGGGATTCCCAGGTGTTCCCTTACGGTGGATGGGACTGAACCCTGACAAGTCACCATGGATTTTCAGCTGAGCTGGGTTTTCCTTGGTGATATTTTAAAAGGTTATTTACGGAGTACAGCAGACATTGAGACTGTAAGAGGATATGAGTGAGAGAATCAGTGGGTGTGTAACAGTTTCCTGACAAGGATGTCTTTGTGTTTCCAGGTGTCCAGTGAGAGATGCAGCTGGTGGAGTGTCGGAGAGGCTTGGTGCAGCCTGTGGGGTCTCTGAGACGCTCCTCTGAAGCCTCTTGATTATTTTGATGACTATGCCATACACTGGGTCCACCAGGTTCCATGAAATTGACTGCAGTGGCACTCATCTATTAACTATAATGGTGATAGCATTTCTGGCTCAGACTTCATGAAGGGTCAATTCACCACGTCCATTGACA